TATATATATATATCTAGACCCACACACACTTACATTCATATATTAATATTTGAGCTTTTTATACTTAGCAACTAATATAAATTAGAACCTACAACTAGAAAGAAGAATGCCTTCTTATATCATTACCTAAAGAAGGAAGTATATATGGAGATCCCACTATGATTTGACTGCAATACATAATAAAAGCATATAAGCTAAAAAAAAGATAATGCATGGGTTAAAGTAATCTCCAAGAATGTGTTTCAAAAGGTTCGCCAGGGCAATGCTTAACATAGGATAAGAAAATCAATGTGACTATAAATTATTTATGAAATGCATGACTTTAAGGGAGCCTGCCTGATTTTAATTTATGCTGGCAGCATTATTATGACAAGTAGTGACTTCGAAAAAAATATAGATTATATATACCCACACACCCATAGAATGAGACGGACTATGTTGTAAATTTGTTGAGATCAACATGAAATTTAATCATAAAATTGGAGATAATTCAAAAGATAAAACAGAAAGAAAAAAATATAACATTAGAGATTGATAAGAAGACATATTTATCACAAGCTACACTTCACATTGCTTGTATTGTTTGTGTGGTGAATCAATACAATTACAACTCAAGAAAATCACATCTCAGGGTAATATATCTAAATCTATAGTATTTGAAGGGAACCGAGCGAAAGAAATTCTATAAAAAAAGATGGCATATTTTAGCACTTGAAGCTTTACGAATGAAGATTATGCATGTTCTATGGCTGATAGGAGGCTGACTCCAAGATATTATATCTTTTTATAAAATAATCTCATGACTTGAAAAAATAAAAATAAAATTTAATAGCACAATCTAATGAAAAGATCAAAAGTTAAACTTATGGCACTAGGAATCTATAAATTATTATGGCAAAAAATTATTATGAATATTTAAAGATTGAATAAAAAGAGCTATGAGACTCTATTGTGATAATAAATCAGTCATTAATATTGCACATAGTTCCACACAACATGTTCGTACAAAACATGTTGTCGATATACATTATATAAAGGAGAAATTTAATTGTATAATCTATACTCTATTCCCAAGAATAAAATTATTATGAACGGTCCTTATAAATTATCGTGCCAACTTAAAATGAATGACATCTATTCATTCACTTTACAATGAGTTTGAAAATATGCATGATTTGCTTGAACGAGGCCACACTCAGCAAAACTTATATATATATATATATATCCTAGTTGTCGACATATTTATCAGCAGAATCCTTAACATATATTCATTAATCAGTGAACTATTGTAATTTTTTTGCAATTAATTATATTCTATTAATTCATTTTCTTTTGCTAGATTCTTTTCTATGATTATATAAATTCTGCACATGTTGAAAGGAAATACACAATCAATTCTCTCCCATTATTGTCGATATAGCTTGGATAGCTAGCAAATCTTTTTGTATTCTTATTAAATCGAATTATTATGGTTGGAGGAAAGATTCTCACTTTCCTTCTTGTTTTAAATTAAGATTTGGCTTATAATTAGTATCAATGCTAAGATTGGCAATTCATTTTTCCTCCGAGGAATTTCAATCTATGAGTAATCAATTTTAATTTATGGAATGAAATAACTTCTCAAATGTGCTAATTAAGTATAATCCTTAAATGAAACCCAAGCCATCAAGATGTTAGGATAGTTATAAAATTTCAAGCAAAATTAAATAAAAAAGAGTAGTGAACATATTAAAGATCATAATCACAAGAAACACAAGTTTATGTAGTTTGATGATATTCAACTTCAATAATAGCAACATCAAGATAAAATATTCCGGTAATCATTAAAAAAAGAGTATATCACATATTTCTTTTCATGAATAAGAAGGTTAAAAAAACACTATATTTCATGTCAATGACAAAGTAGGAACACGGCCATCTACTTTAAAAATAAGGGATGAATATGAAGAAAGCATTGTTATCGATACTATTACCATCTTCTCTGTTCAACTATGAGAACTTCTTCCTCTCTTCACTCACCAGCTGCAAGAAGTTCTCCCTATTATGATTAAAATCTTAAGCCCCTATCATCTCTTTTTTCTAGTGGTTGTTGGGCGCTTGAACACATTGGAGCCATCTCAATAGATAGTGCATAGAAATGATTAATAGAAAGCTTGATTTTATTAGAATGATAGTAGTGAATTTCATAATATACATATTAGATCGACGAAGATAGTTAATAAATTTATAAATAGTAGGCCGAGGATAGTAGGTAAGAAACTTATATTGAGCGAGATAAAGAAAAATTATCTTCATATGTAACAAGAGAGATTTTGTAAATAACTAATGACGAAAATATTTAACCACATGAAACCCTAATGCCAATCTCAAGATGCTTTGCAAGAATTAGGTTGAGCAAGGAACAATCTAGTCGATTCAATGAAATTTGAACATCCAAAGAAGATTCTAAGATATCCCTATCATTGTCGTATTTAACACTTCTTAATGGCCCTAAAGTAAGTCCACATTTAAATATTTCATCGTATCTCCATATTAGTCATAGTTTTCACACATTCATATTAAAACTCTCTTCTATACCATGCTCAACTCAATTATCAAGAACCTTTTAATTCATACTACATAATCAATCAAATTGTATTTTAAAAAAATTACTTCGAAGTCTACATGATATCCTCCAAAACCACAAACGTCTAAAAAACTTTTCTAATTAAATCATTCAATCCGAACTCTAGAAATTATGTTCTTACATGTCTAATGATTTATGTATAACTGATAAAATACTTTTGAATTTATCATAACTAACTAACATTTATCTTTTAAAAACATTCATTGATATTTTTTATGCTTATATATAATACTTAACCATCATTTATCTTTTAAAAATATTTATTGATATTTATTTATATTTGAGTGTACCATATTAAATCACAACCATGAACCAAAATTAGATAAGACAATATAACTAGAGAAAATGTCATGGGCTCGAAAGTAAGAAAAAAATTATGAAGATATAAATACTCACGATGATAAGGAATCAATCTCTGCAGCAGTTACATACCAACGAGGTGCAGGACGACGCCCCTTTTTCTCCTATAATTTTTGGGCTAAAAGTAGATCAATTTAAAAACCATGACTATAATACAATAGGCTAGAACACTATAAATTCCAAACTTGATTTTAAAAGTAAACTGTAAACAAAAGTAACAACATTACCATATGACTAAAGACATCAAATAAATATACGATGAAAGCCACAATATGGGATTTAGCAAATGCAATGATTCATAGACACGACAAATGTTTTGCTAAAACGAGGGGGAGGGGTGGGGAGGAGATTTTTGTTCGGTTCGATAACAGTAACATCTATTATGTTGCGTTATTTAAAGGTGGCAACTATTCGGTTCACCAACATTTTAAAATAATTTCCAAAAATATCAATCATATTCTGTTTTTATTAATTGGCATCTCATATCATGACATATAAAAAATCATGTTAATATATTTTAATAGAGATGACACTGATGTCTTTAATATAATAATGTTGAACCAAATATATGGTATATGGTGGAAAATAATAGTAACTAATTAAATTGATTCCTAAATAACATTGAACCAAACAGCCCAATGGAACTAGGAAAATGAAAGACAACTAGAAAGAAAATGAGAAATATTTTACCAAATTTTACCTAATTGAAAATTTCCTGATTGAACTTTTTTTTGGGTCAAGATATTTTGGTCCAATTTCACTAGGATGATCTTAAAAGAAGACTTGGACCAATTTTTCTATGATATTTGTTCATTTGATTACATAAAAATGTCTTAATGCTTTATTATTTTTTCAAATATTTAAACGTACTTATATTCATTATTTTTTGAATAAATATATAAAGTAAAGCCATTTAATATTATATCATTTAAATATAAGAGAAATCAATATCTTGACTTTATTTCTCTTTCTTTTTTTTCTTCTTTTGACAAGGCAAGTCATATTGAAATGAATTCCATAGAATTTTCCATATTGTTCGACAGAACTGTCGATTTATTTCGATTGAGGAAAAGAGAAAAAATTAATACTCTATAGAAGCAGAGAGATGGTGAAAGATTAGAGATTCCATTAATACCCTGGGAGCAAGAACAATCTCCTCTTTAGATGTAGAAGCTTCGGAAAGGATATTCTGATTGATCGAGCTCAGATTAAAACTGGAAAATAAATATGCCCAAATAACTAATAGCTGAAGCAAACAAATGAGGGGGTTGGCTAGTTTTCCAAAAATTTACCTAGCATTCGTGGTTGAATCAGACAACTCAACGTTTTCACGCATTCCAGATGGCATATTCGCGAGCATATGATGCAGCTTCTTTTGCTGGTGCAGAGATAGCTGGATGAGTTTCTGCATCGTAAGAGATTGGGATCGAATCAAGAACAACAGGAATCTGAAAAATATAGAAACGGCAGATTAGAACCTTGGCTTTGGGAATTGCACTTCTTTCCTCTTGTAATCGGTTCTTGATTGCTTCAATCTGAGACTCCATCGCGGTTAGGGTTGTGTCCATAGCAGTGAGATCGGGGATGCTGGTGCAAGGCACTGAGGAGTTTCGGGACAGCAAGGTTTAGGGCTTCGCCTCAGTTAACTAGATACTAAAAAAAAACAGTCGGGATTGATGTATTGGGAAAAAAAGAGGTAGAGATTACTGTTGCGTGCCAAGACGAGTTCCTGGAGCTCCATAATGCGAGCGTTAAACAAGAATACGAGCTTGTCAAGCGAAGCGCCTGCTTCTCTTAGATCCATTTCTTTATGGCTTTCTCTCCCGTTTCTATTTCACAAGCTTAGAAGTTCGAATCGCACGAATTCCGCGGGAAAACAAATCCCGCCCGGATGGGTAGCGAGTGATGAAGAAGACCTGGCCTCACTTGTCCTACTTAACCTGTACAGTTACTTGCGGATGAGATTATTTTAAAAGGCGTTACATTAAAAAATGAGATGTAATTATTAATTTATAACAATAAATTAAATTTTTTACAGTTCTTAACTTCTTATATAGTTATATTTTCAACACCTAATTTTTAATATTAGCTTTTGCTAAAATTTGCTGACATACCCTTCAATTCTTATGTATTTATTTATCTTAAATCTAAACTTTAATGTTTGCAAACTACTTTTTTTTTATGTTTGAAAAGATATATGAAAAGGTAGATTAGACTTTTTTCATAGGTAGAGGCTTCAGATATAAAAATCTAATATTTATTTTATATAAATCAAATCGTTTTAAAATATTTCAAATACAATAATTTTTTCAGCAAACCAAAAAAAAAAAAAAAAAAAAAAACCGCTAATAAAACCAAAATAAAATTTAAAGAATAGAAGACGCTGTCCCGACCCCGCGAGGAACGACGGCCATGGGTCCTTTGGGAGACCTGAAGAGGTTGCAGATTGGTATTCTCGATCGCATCACTATCCTGGAACGAGCCTTCAGCACCCACCTCGCGCTCTCCAATGCTCCGAATCGCAGCGGCAATAACATTGCCGCTAGCGACGGTGATGCCACGGAGTCCCGCCTTTCGCTCATTCTCAGGTCCTTGGGCGTCTCTGACTTCACCTTCAGGAAAGTTCCCGTAGATTACTACGATAAAACCCTAGAGGAAAGGAAGGAGATCCTTGGCGCTTTCTCCGTTCATCACCTCTGCAAAAGCATAGTAATGGTACTTGTTCCCTCTGTACTTGGCATTGCATCAAACAGTTGTCGTGCATCCGTATCATGGATGGATTGAGATTGTTATTCTCTAATTCCAAGTCAGTTTCGATTGTAGCATCGATGAATCTTAGTGAAGCACGCCGCCGTACTTTAACCGAGCGAACTAGGTCATTCAAACACATCTATAACTAGTATTGTGACCTTTTGAATTACTGGTCTTGTGATATACTTATAATTAATGTAATCTTTGGGAATGTTTTATATAATAAGAAAAATGTAGAACTATGTATCATACCTTGAATTTTAAGTTTGCATTTCCACATGACCTCCAAATTAAAAATGCTGTCCATCTATATCTTTATGTGAGGTAAAAACTTTATTTATGCGCTATAATGTTGGCCAAGGTGTCATTTACTAGTAGGAACTTATTGTAAGAATGCTTTGTAGGCGATCAGTGTTTCCAAGACAAATTACATGATTAGCCTATTGGAAGGTCATTTGTTGTACTTGCTTTATTTTTCCTATTCCAAGCATTCATTATTCAGTTCTACTGCATCTTGTTAGCCTTCTTCATTGTGGCTGTTTGTTTGTCACAACAATTTCATGCTGTCAATGCAGAAATTTTCCATCAAGCCCAATTGGATTGTAGGAGATCGATGCCAGTCGCTTTTCACCATACAGTGTGAAAGACTAATGGGGTCGATATGTGATTCTTCAACTTAATTCAATCATCCTTATGAGTGGTTGAAACTAGGTAGCCTAGGACTGGCAATTTCCAGTGCTGACCTTTGTGTGTGTTTCACAAATTTACTTGATGGGATATGATGAAAATGAAGGACAATGGAAACATGTTATGAAACTAATTTGATACACATCACCGATTATTACTCAAATTGTAAATAAAAAAAAAAAAAACTGCTGTGATGAGTTCTAAATGTTGAAAATATTGAGGAGGAATGGCCGCATTGTCTAGCACATATTATGGGGAAAAGAAATAAACACATGGAAAAAGTGTAAGTGAAACTTGTATCATGAAATGGATTCAACATTTTCAAAATTTTTAAATTATCAAAAAATGATTGCAATTGATTCAATTGAATACAATAAAAACAAAATATAATTGGCATGACACTGCAAGTTCTGTGTGAAGTATCTCAACCATAAAGCCAAGCATCCAAACATTGCCAGTTTTATGAAATGGATGATGCGGATTTGTCTATATTATCAGAGTTACCAAGTCGAAACATTCATATTGCCTGGGTCGCTATACGTTAAATTTCAAAAGTTTTCATTTATGCTCACAAGGCGATGATATAAATCTGAGGTGTGTGAATAACAAGAACTTACGAGAGAGAGCTTACATGTGTAGGAGCAAGAATGGCATGGACATATAGTCTTTATAATGTTTCAATCTATGAGAATATGATCATGTGGAATTTTTCAGATGTGGCAACCTGTTTAGATCAATCTAATTAGATAGTCATCTACTTCATTCTTTTCATTCGATGGCCATTGTATTTCAAATTACTAATTTGCATTAACAAGATTAAGGGTCTGTTTGGGGTAGCTGCAGCTTAATAATAAACTGCTGCGTATCAGCTGCCACTGTTGTGCAGAAGCAGTTGTAGATAAGCTGACTGTCTGTTTATTTTTTGTAAGGGTAAAGATAAAACCCTATGCCATATCACATTCAGCCATAAATTCGGAAAATCCAAATTTCAAATCATAAAGAGAAAGCCACAAATCGCAAAGTCCAAATTCTCACTTCAAACCGTAAATGAGAATGCCAAAAATGGCAAAATCCAAAATCTCACTTCAAACCCCAAATGCGAAAGCCACAAATTATAAAGAAGTCGTTCCATCAAAGTAGGTGATACCGTAGAAGGACGAAGAGCATAGTAAACAGAGAGAGCTGTAGATTGGAGGGAAGAGGGAGAATAGAGAGGCAATCCGTTGCCACCAGAGATCGAAGGGAAGAGGAAAAGGAGAACGGCAACCCGTTGCCATCGGAGAGAGGCGCAAGAGAGAAGCGATCAAGAGAGATGAGGGCAGAAGAAACGTGAGAGAGAGCTAACTAATAAGTTCGCGAAAAAATGCGGGCAGCGGAGTTTAACCTAAATTTTTAAGAAAAGCGGTTGCGCGGCTATTTCCAAAAGCTTCATCCGACATTTTCAGAACGCACCGCGCCAAATAAGCAATCCCAAACGATTTTGGGGTCCTCATTAGGATATATTGCTATTCGATTCCCGATAATATTGTTTTTACAGTACATTGTCTGTGAATTTTTGTTGTTGAATCTGATAATTTTATCTGTTTCTATATCTCAGGTTAATACTCAAGCTCCGGCTAATGTGATAGACTGCAATGACCATAAGAATTCTAAGTATTACATTGTTGTAGTACAGGTACTTTATATGTCTTGTATATATATTTATATTTTTTTATCTTTGTGCTTAACCCAAAGCCCTTAAATACTTTTATTTGTGTTACAGTATGTAGCTCGGCTAAATGCTGAAAACATCAAGAATTTTCTTTATGCACTTAACAACCAGAAGATACCAAAGAAGAGATTCAACCGTGAGTTGTTCTACACATCTCTTTGATGGAACTCAACTTATAT